TTTTCTTGTGTAACAAACACTGATATCGCTAATTTTGAGCATGTTTCATGTAAACAAACAATAATAACAACAACCCACGGCGAAGATTTCTTCCGATCTGATGGTGTTTCTGATTTGAGTTGGACATGCTCGAAATAGCACTGGCTAGAGCGCTACACTGGGTAATTGCCAAGATTTGGGAGGAGGAGATATTACCAGAGGAGTGAAGGGAAGGTGTCGTATGCCCAATCTACAAAAAGGGCGATAAGTTGGATTGCTGCAATCACACTGCTGAACGCCGCCTACAAGGTACTCTCCCAAATTCTATGCCGCCGCCTGTCATCATTCGCAAGAGAGTTCGTGGGGCAATACCAGGCGGGATTCATGGGTGCCCGCGCTACAACGGACCAAATTTTCGCGATTCGGCAGGTTCTGCACAAATGCCGCGAATACAACGTGCCTACACATCATTTGTTCATCGATTTCAAATCCGCATACGACACAATCGATTTCAGATTGGCAGATTATTCACGAGTTCGGATTTCCGGATAAACTGACGCGATTGGTCAAGGCGACGATGGATAGAGTGATGTGCGTTATTCGAGTATCGGGGACACTCTCGAGTCCCTTTGAATCTCGAAGGGGGCTACGGCAAAGTGATGGACTTTCGTGTCTGCTATTCAACATCGCGTTAGAAGGTGTGATCAGAAGAGCTGGGATAGACACGAGTGGCACGATCTTCAGGAAGTCCATCCAGCTTCTTGGCTTCGCCGATGACATTGAAATCATGGCACGGAACTTTGAGACGATGGCGGAAACGTACATCAGACTGAAGGCTGAAGCTAGGCGGATTGGACTTGCAATCAACGCATCAAAGACAACATACATGAAAAGAAGAGGTTCTAGGGAAGACAATGTTAGCCTCCCACCCCGAGTTCAGATTGACGGTGACGAAATCGAGGTGGTAGATGAGTTCGTGTATTTGGGCTCACTGGTGACCGCCGAAAATGATACCAGCAGAGAAATTCAAAGACGCATTATGGCAGGGAATCGTGCCTACTTTGGACTCCGGAAGACGCTCCGGTCGAATAAAATTCACCGCCGCACGAAGTTGACTGTCTACAAGGCGCTGATTAGACCGGTGGTTCTCTACGGCCACGAGACCTGACCTATGCCCATGGAGGACCAACGCACCTTTGGTGTTTTCGAACGGAAGGTGTTGCGTACCATCTACGGTGGAGTTCAGATGGATGACGGAACGTGGAGGAGGCGAATGAACCACGAATTGCACCAGCTGCTGGGAGAACCATCCTTCGTCCACATTGCAAAAATTGGGCGACTACGGTGGGCTGGGCACGTCGTACGAATGCCGCACGACGACTCAGTGAAAGTGGTTCTAGAAAGTGACCCAACAGGAACAAGAAGAAGAGGCGCGCAGCGGGCAAGGTGGATCGACCAAGTAGAAGGCGAACTGCGGACCCTTCGCAGACGAAGAGGCCATGGATCGAGTAGAGTGGAGACGGCTTCTTCGGACAGCAGAGGACAACAAAGCCTTAGCCTGATTGGTAAGGGAAGTAATGCTCGAAATAGGCGAAAGCAGACTTTATTTCCAAAAAGAACTACATCTTTTTGAAAGGTTTATGCTGAATTGAGGTGTACAAAAATGTAATTCCAGATTTATCAAAAAATGAGCGAGCTTTTTTCAATCTGAAATATTGCGGCGAAAAAAAAATACTAGGTTTGAATTTTTCGAAAATGCATCGAAGTGAATTGCAAATTAGAGTAATTAGTAATTATTTAGTAAATTGGAATTTTGGCGAAATAGACCAGTCATGGTCTTAGCCTGTATGAAAAGACAAATCCAAAGAAAAAAAAAATTGGAATTTTAAGACATAGTCAAGTTTTTCAGATTTTTAAAAAAAAAAGACTCGCTATATGCCCTGAAATTTGGAAGATTTAGGTCTTTCAGATTGGTAAGCAATTAAAATGATTTTTAAGATTGTTTCCTTCTTTCAATCATGAGCAGTTTTTTGGAGGCTGAAAGTCTCGCTAGTAAAGATAACCTAACCTTACCAGTTCTGTGGAGTCTTTTCTGATTTCGTTATTTTGGGCACCATGAATAAAATTTGAATTTATTTATCTGCTTTTAATTTCTGCTCGTTTTTCTATCACATCAAATGTAAGTTTATCGCAAAATTGAGTGTACACCTGAATGGACAATTTTTAGAAACACTTTGATTTAATAAGATTTAAAAAATCTTAGCAGGTGCTTGAACAACTATTTAGTGATTTTTCGTTACTGTTTTGGACTTTATTGACAAAGCCGCAATGAAGTTTGATAAATTTGATTGAAACACTTGATTTGAAACTTTTTTTTTGTAAGATGTGATACATAAATTACGCAATTCAAAAAAATCAGGATTTTGGACTCCCTCCACTCTTGCGTAGAATTAAGTAACGCCTGACAAAACTCCCCTTTAAAATTACGTAATGCTCACTCGCTCAAATATTTCAAAAAGGTTGGTTCATTGTGTTTCAAGAAAATGTCGTATATTGAGAAAAGACACTATTCTAAATTGCTCCAATTTTTTATACACTCGTTCAAATAAGCCCAATACTAAACCAAAAAAATTCAGAATTATCTATCTTTTAAATAGTGCTCGTACAGATGTTCTTATGAAATTTAAGGTCAGCTGTACTGTTCAATGTTGAGATACACTGATATTTCATCGGAATTTGAATAAATTATATAAAACTACTGAGCTTTTGAAGGTTCAGGTTTGTCAATTTTGAAATGCCAGTAAATTTTTTGAGAATTTATCCTTCCGTTTAAAATGAGCAGTTCTTTCGTGTCTTTCTGTTTTCATGATTTTCGGCACTGTGAACAAAATAGGCAATCACATTAGTTTTCCTTTTTTTAAAGTTGATCATTTCTTTTCCTACACCAATCTGTTTAACCGAATGTTAGTTTACTGTGGCTTAGATTAGCAAATTTTCTCATACACACGTGTCCTGCTCATCATTTGTGTTTTCTCAGTATCTGCTTTCCAAAAATTACTGAAAATAGCTTGTCATACTAGTCGATTAGTCGTAGCAAAAAAAAAATACATAGATTACACCACGCAGCGCCCTGATCATATTCCAGTCTATGTGCGTGCATACAATACAACTCCCACTGGCTGGCAGTGCTTTTATGGAAGAAACTTTTCAGCATCTATTTGTTGATATAAGTATCAACAGACACGTTTTTAGCCCTGGAGATAAATAAATTCATTGACCCATTTAAAGAATGCCAGCTTATACACGTACATTATGAGGTCGCCTTCATAAACAATAAATCCCGCATGAATACAGCCACATACTAAAAGGATACCTATAATGCATTCACACTTCCAGAAATAAAATTCAGAAAATTACACCTTAGATTCTGGCACGTATTTAGTATCAGCATATGTTGGTTGTATCGGAATAAATATAACTATTAATTATAAGTTGAAACGATCTCACCAAAACTTGTTGTACTCTTCTTCACTTTGAAGTCGGTTCATGTACCGCTGTACTCTGCAATCTTTCTTACATGCTGAATTTAGTGAATCATTGAAATAGGCATAGCATAAGTACGACCTATCACTTAAAGATTGCTTTATGACCGCTTGCAATCCAATTACTGCACAACATTAAACGCAAAAATTACCAAATTTGTGGAAGAAAAGCACTCAGCATAAAATAAACATGTCATCTTTCAAGCACGGGCTACTGAGATCTTCCTTAGCGCTAAAACATGCGTTTTATTAATTACTCTGCTCACCTTAATTCGTGCCGAGTGATTAAGCTGTGTCGAAAGCCGTACCAAAATGTCCTATCAAGATCAATCAAAGTGTGCCTATCAAGACGTAAATATTCCATGAGTTTGGCAACCCTGAAAGTTATGAATTTTGTGATTGTGTTTACATTCTCTGATGGATCACGGCAAACAACTCACCTTCATTATCAGTAGAACGGTAGCGGGTCCGGAGGTGGAAGAGAAACTGGAAGTCATCAAACCAGTAGTGTGATCAACTGGGTGCTCAAGATAATTCAATGCATCCATAAAGTTCTGGCTTGAAGTCCCTTTAAACTGTTGATTCCTTGCAGGTGAACAGAAGTAAAGGAGAAACCCGATCTATGATGAATGAAATGTCTGTCTATTAAATCCACCCCGACTAAAGTAAACCCAGAACTCGAACGGGCCAGAGTTCAATCCCACCCTTAGAGCCAAATCGTCAAACCAGTCTTAAATCACCTGATATCTCATTTTTCTAAAATTAAATAAAAAATAGACCAATGTAAATTCTTATGGGGGTGACCAATATGTAAATGTAACGTAGCTATTAGGAGTACACTTGCATATGATCACAATGAACTTCGTTTGTATGGCTAAAGATTGCTTGTAATCCTCGTCTATCAACATAAAAGTGTGTGAAGAGATTTGAGTGCGTGGATTTATTTCCTTTTAATTCCGTTATAATTGCTTACCTTTTGATAGATACGCGTATTTCGTATACTACTTGCAGACTTCATCAATGCCAAGTACTCAACACTACCTGGATCTGATGAAGTCTGCAAGTATTTAGTAGACGAAATACGCGTACGCCATTATAACGTAATTAAAAGGAAGTAAATCAACCCACTCAAAGCTCTTCATAAAGGGATTCCGTTAAGAGGTTTGACAAAATTAAAAGATTAATAAAAATGTATTCAAACTTTTGTTTGCCTGTGGGGATTTAAAAAAAAACGTTCTACTATTTATGACACTTAACTTTACAGCACTATTTAAATAAAACGACTGGTTAATGTTACTCCAAAAGTTCAAGGAACATATTCTAGTCATCATTTTTCAATTTTGACCCAATGTCCCAATGTATTTCTCTGCTTCCCTTCCCACACCAAATACCTTGAGCGACACGGCCACTACCACCTTAAATTCGACTGTACAAACGGCTTTCACACAAAGGTTAACCACCCCTCTATTCTCCCCACAGCCTTCACCATCAGCGACCAATCCTTCGAGGGTTCCTACCGGGAGCAGCTGATCGAAGAAATCAAACAGGATCTAGACGAGCTGGAACAGCTGGCACCGGAAATGTTCGACGACCGACCCGTACAATATCGTCCATTCTATCCGCGATTCTATCAAGAGCAACAGCACCTGCAACAACAAGAACAACAACAGCTGAATGCGATCGATCCGCATCGTCGGGTTCGTCGCCAGATCGTTGACGAGTGCTGTCGGAAAAGTTGCACATTGAATACACTGAAGCAATACTGCGCCGACTAAAACGGAACTTAGCAACATGGTTGAACTAGCAGTCCCTGTACGAGAGTTATTTTTCTAGCCCTATGTAAAACTCTAATAAAGCGAGCGTTCTACGAACTGATGATTCGGAACGGGTGTTTTGATGATATATGATTTTGGTTTTGATCATCGGGGTATCGTGTGAGTTATAAATCTTTAAAACATGATATTTTTTCCTGTTTGAATTTCAGTCAACGAATCAGCATGAGTTCTACAAGTCTGCGAGTATCGAGCCATCTGGGCAGAGGATTGGTATTTATGCGCTGGGGTCTTATGGTATTGATGATCGGAACAGTGGTACAGGCCGATCAAAGTCGATTCTGTGGGAGACAGCTCGTGATGACTCTTTCGGTTCTGTGCGAGGAGTTCCCAGATCTTCATTCGAATGCTAAAAAATCTAGTAAGTGTTTTGGTAAATCAAAAACGGCCGCTCAATTAATGATGTCACATTTCGCAGTGATCGACTTCGATAAAGACTACACTACTGAAGAATGGTTAGCTATGATGGGCCAGGATCCGGAATCTGTCATGTCGACGGATCTTGTGATTCCGCATATGGATCAACAGCAGCAGCAACAGCAAAAAGTTCCCCTCTGGATGACGTTGATGTACCCGCAGGGTTATGCATTCCGTTCGAACGCCGGCCGTAACGATTTGATTCCGCCACGTTTCCGTAAAAGTCCCCGTGGTATTGTAGATGAGTGCTGCTTGCGGCCCTGTGGAATGAGCACGCTGATGAAATACTGCAAAACCATTGCGTAAATCGCCGAATGAAGGATGGTTCGAGTGCCTATCTGTCACCTACCTGCATCCAGGAGGTTCGGCGATTCATATATATGTAGTTGTTATGTATTCGTAAAGTGAGAGACAGGCATAGAAGGGTCAAGTTTTCTTTAGGAGGGAACAGATCTCGTACAGGTAATGTTTAGCCATGTGATAATTGCTGTGAGGAACCGGTTGAACATGTTAGACGATTTGTCAGATTTTTATTGAAACGATGAACGTTCCAAACAGTTTTACACCAGTAGGAATGAGACTTTTGAAAACGAAATCCAATTTAAGAATACACAAATGATTTATATTGCTGTTATTGTGTTTAGCAAAGGTAAATAAATATTTACAACGAAAAAAAAATCCGGCAATGTTTTGTTGTTTTGAGAATGTGACATTCTATTGGCTATCAGAACTATTGTTGATGAGCAGTGTTGGAAAAGTTCGCGATATTTCACGAAGTTCACCAAGGGAAAAGTTCGCCAGTCATAGTGAGTTTTCGCGAACTTTTCCATCACTGTTGATGAGAGTAATGGAACACATCATAAAAAGGCTATGTAGACTTCATGAAGATTTGAGTTGGAGTCGAGTGCAAAGTTCCAGCTGCGACGTAAAACCCATGAAGCAGAAGATGAACGTAGATCTACAAGACTTAGGTAATATTGAAGACGACGAAATTATGGTTTCTTTTGACATACTAGCATTGTTTCCCAGTGTTCAATTCACATAAGCCATAAATCTATTACTGGTTACTTCGACAACACAGTGACGCAATATAGAAAACTATAGTACGGACATACATAAAACTGACTAGACTGTGTATGGAAGAGAATTACTTAACATTCAGAGGTGACTATTATAAACAAACGAAGGTACTCCCTTCGATGGGTAACCCTCTATCTCCTTTCTTGTGAGAACTGTTCATGGTTAAGCTAGAGAGTGATTTTAAGGAAATGGGATTGCTTCCAAAACGATGGTGGAGATATGTAGACGATTTCTTCAGCATTGTTAAGCGAGAATCGTTGCGAATTATCCTTGGGGGCCATTAACAGTGGACATAGGGATACCAAGTTCACTTGTGAACAAAGAGGGATTGAGTGTTACCGTTCTTGGATGTTCTAATTATTAGATAATCCACTTCACTGACGTTTGAAATCTACAGAAAACCGACCAAGTTATACCAAACACTTCCAACCATTCTTTATAGCGCCTGCTTTTCACCACAAGATCCATAGAGACTTTGCCACAGATTATATATTTGAGACAGCTAAACTAAACGGATACGAAAGAAAACCCATCCAGGCTATAATTGAGAAACACAGAAACAACGAATACAAAAGATCATTGACTACATTAACACCAATAAAAAAAAAATCGCACGACGAAGATTTGTAGATCACGACTTTATCTTAACCCTCCGTTACTCGCGCCAACTTTTGTAACACGAGTACTCGCACGTTGTACTTTGTACAACTGAGAGAGATTTCCATTGCCATTTTGCAGCCGAGCTACCAATCGATATGAAACTAACGGGTATTCCTTAAAAAACTTGTTTTTAACTAAACAAGCTAAACTTTTATCACAGTTAACCCCCAAAAAATGCGGATAATAGAGAAAATGTGAATGGAAACTGCGTAAACGGTGTCCGTACTAAGTGAGATTTGACTTAATTGGTTACAACATGCGAGATCCTGACCAGATAGAAAGTTACTGTCTTGGGTAAAGTTGTTCTAGAGATCACAACCTTTTCGCTGGTGGAGAGTAGTTCAAAATTTTCACACTACTTAGCGCTAGAATACATGTGAAATTAACGCATGTGATATATCTCGAGATCATGACCAGAAAGAAAGTTACTGTCGTCGACAAAGTTGTTGATGAGATCAAAGCCTATTTCATGGTGAGCAATAGTTCAAAATTTTCTCAATACGCGGCGCTAGTATACACGTGAAATTCTCATATAAAATATCTCGAGAACCTGACCTGAACCTGACCAGACAGAAAGTTACTGTGTTCGGCAATGTTGTTCAGAAGGTCAAGGCCTTTTCGTTGGTGGACAGTATTTCAGAGTTTTCTCACTTCACGGCGCTAGTATACATGTAAAATTCTCGCATTTATAATTATCTCTCATTATAAATATCTCTAGATCCTTACCAGATAAAAAGTTACTGTCTTCGGCTAAGTTTTTTAGGAAGTTGAAATCTTTGAACAACTGTCCACGAGCAAAAATTTTATGATATCCTGAACAACTTTGCCGACGACAATAATTTTCTATCTGGTCAAGAACTTGAGATATTTTATAAATGGGAGAATTTCACATGTATACTAGCACCATGAAGTGAGAAAATTCTGAACTACTATCCGCCAGCGACAAGGTTATGATCTCCTGAACAACTTTGTCCGAGACAGTAACTTTCTATCTGGTCAGGATCTCGATATATTCCATGTTGTAATCAATTAAGTCAAATCCCACGTAGTATGGTCACAGTTTACGCGGTTTCCAGTTACATTTTCCTATTATCCGCATTTTTAGGTGTTTACTGTAATAATAGTTTAGCTTGTTTAGATCAAAACAAGTTTTTTGAGGAATACTCGTTGGTTTCAGATCGATTGGTAACTCAGCAACAAAATGAAAATGGAAAACTCATGTGTGTTGTACAAAGTAGAACAGCGCGAGTAACGGAGGGTTAATCAGACCAGTATGAACTAATTTGAGAAAGTTTGGCATTGACATTGACACCAGCAGAAACAACCAACTAAAGACGAGTTTAGGAAACACTAAAGACCCAGTTACCGATTTGGCAAAATATACATACGTCAGAAAAAAAGAATATTAGACACAACATTTAGCTACTAAGGACACGGAAATGGTATTCATTACCATTTCAAATCCAAAGTGGCTAAACATGTATTTACTGACACACATAAACTGACAAAGGATGACATAACGAGAGGACAGTGGAGAGAAAAGCATCCACGAAATGTTATCAACAGGGAGTTGGCAATTCCACTCATTAGCTATGAGTAACTGTTGTTTTTTTTTTGTTCAAATATGAGTAAATTTCGTATGGAAAAAAAATGCTCTGAGTCAATTGAATTCAGTCGCTGAGTTGTTGTAGTTGGCCTTAACGACAAATGGGAGAGGGGGCACGTGCCCCCTTCGACTACTCCTGTAGCCGCTAAAGCCCTACAGTAAAAGTATGGACGACTGTCACCACAAAACTGAAAAAAGTTGTTCCAATCGAGCAAAGCGGTTTATTTTGACGGTTCGATTGGAACAACTTTTGACAGACGTCCATACTTTTACTGTAGGGCTTTAGTAGCCGCCAGTAGCGATTGGAAATAAAGCAATAAAACAGTTGAGCCTCACAATAAACCACGGCGAACTATAGATACTATAGATTCCATAGATAAGCGGAGGCAAAGTATAATGTAGCCAAACGAACTGTCAGTTAGTGTAGCCAAACGAGCATGACGTCATCATGATGTTGTTTGAGGGTGAAGTATTGTAATATTATGAGCACAAAACGCTTTCCACACTCCACATTCCGATTTATTTCGCGGATAACGGAAGAAGAACTATGAACTATGAGAGTGATGATGGTTTCAAAATTTTACACGGTAAGGTATACGAGTGCAATCTTAAAATGCTTTTATTTTGCAAATGGAGCATTTTATTTAGATTTGGTTAATGCTACGCTAGTAGAAAACTTAAGGACTACTCAATAGACATATATTATAGAAAAAAAATAATTTCGTTTCAGATTTAAAGGTGTATAAAGGGTGTCCACGATGAAATTGCCACACTATGAAATTGCTCTAACTTTTTAACCGTTGGGTAGAATTTAATGAAAATTTGGGTGGATTTAGTTCATAGTGCATTATTTACATCCTGCAAGTTTTAAAGTCCTGTGATCAAAACTCGCGGAAATGGAGTCGAAAGAACAGCTTGTGCGTGATAAAATCTTGCGCATTCATCACGAGAACAAGGATCTCTCGCATCGTTCCATCGCTAAAACGTTGGGAATCGCGAATTCCACGGTGTCGCGAGTGATTAAGCGGTTCGAGGAACGGTTGACCACCGATCGGAAGCCCAGAAGTGAAGGAAAAAGTATTCCGTACAACACCAAAAATCACAACCGCGTAGTTGGGGCCTTCAACCGAAATCCGAACGCCTCCGTTAGGGATGTGGCTAAGAAGCTGCACCTAAGCCGAAGTTTTGTCTAGAAGGCCAAAACTAAGGCTGGGCTTCGAACGTTCAAGGTACAAAAGGCCCCTAATCACGACGAGAAGCAGAACAAGTCCGCCAAAACCCGTGCCAGGAAGTTGTACCTCAACATGCTGACGAAAGTTGAATGCTGCATCATGGACGACGAAACATATGTGAAGGCCGACTTCAAACAGATCCCCGGCAACCTGTTTTTCACGGCCAAGGATAAGTTCAGCGTTCCGGAGCATGTCCGCACTCAGAAGATGTCCAAATTTGCGAAGAAATTCCTGGTTTGGCAAGCCATCTGCACGTGCGGGAAGCGGAGTGCACCTTTCGTGACCCAGGACACGATGAACGGACAGGTGTACATAAAAGAGTGCCTCCAGAAGCGGCTGCTTCCTCTCCTGAAGGCCCACAACGTCCCAACAATCTTCTGGCCGGATTTGGCCTCATGCCACTACTCCAAGGACGTGCTGAAGTGGTATGCGGACAATAAGGTCAATTTCGTGCCGAAAATGTTCAACCCTCCCAACACTCCGGAGCTCCGCCCCATCGAGAAGTACTGGGCGATTATGAAGCAGCACCTTCTTAAACGACCTAAGGTAGTGAAGACAGTCGAGGAACTGAAGAAAGTATGGGTTTACATGCAAAAAACGGTTGATTCACAGGTTGTGCAGAATCTTATGGCCGGGGTTAAGGCCAAGGTGCGGGCATTTGCGTATGGACTGTAAATAAAATACGAGTAAAATGGTAAAATGAAGCTTAATAGTTATTTCTCAATCCCTGAAAATTTGATGGCAATCGGATGAAAACTCGAATTTTGCGAATCAATTTTGTGTGTGGCAATTTCATCGTGGACACCCTTTACATAGATTTCAGATTTTCTACCACTGTAGCAGCAACCAGATTTAAATAAAATGCTCCATTTGCAAAATAAAAGCATTTTAAGATTGCGCTCGTATACCTCAACGTGGAAAATTTTGAAACCATCATCACTCTCATAGTTCTTCTATTCTCCACGAATGCAGACTTTAATTTGCCAATGATGGCGTGAACTTTTTTCACGGATGCCAGTAAGATCATTTATTTTTCATGGTTGCCAAAACAACTTTTTGTGTCTCCGCTTA